ACCCCGCCAACCATTTATGGCTAAAAGGTTTCTCGTGGGAACCCAAAACAGGGAACCCCAATAATATAGTAGGAATATAATGGAACAAGGACCCTGGTAGGTAACTTCCTATTATATACCTACTATATTCTTGGGGTTCCGTGTTTGGGGTTCCGAGTAATGTCCCTTTAATTGCAAAGCTTGAGGCGGCGTCCTCAACAACACAAAGCAGTGCAACTTCACAAGCCACTCTTCTGCTCTTATCCAGGGGATTTTCTCGGAATAGGGGTTCTTTAGATCCTCGTAAGGGGGTCGATTGGGGTGTCTGACTTAGAGCCATGGAGGCTTATCCAAACAGGGGGCCATAAACCCTGAACCCCTTGGGGGACCCTAGGGATAAGCCCTAGACCTAACGGGAACTGCACGGGGATCACGATTAAGGATTCTAAGTGGGATCGAAGGGGTAGGTTTGAGCAACTTAGGGTTTACGGTTTAGGGTTTTTAGGGTTTAGTGTTTTTAGGTTTTAGGGCTTCAGGGCTCAACTCTGTGTTTAGAACTTGGGAACAAGGGACTGTAACATGTAGGAGCATATTCCCATATTCCCTATGAAGAACCAGCTAGTTGAGCTGGAGATTGGGATCACTGTGGGCCATTCTTGGGGATCTAGAGCATTCAACTTGTAGATATGTGATGGGGTCCTGACGCAGTTTGTTTTTAGAGGTCGTGTCGGGCAACGGTACGTTTGAGGACTCCCCGTAAGCAAAAGATGTATCTTGCATGGGCTTTATAACAGTTGGCTACACGTCATTTGTAATGCCTTCAGGTGTTTCTGGAAGATTCAAGCGTGTGAGCTCTGCACAGAGTTTCTCAAAACTCAGCGTGCGGGTTTTGCTGTCTCCTGCTTACCGCAGCTACCGGACCACCGCCGTCATCATCAGAAGCTTCGGCGGGAACACATTGCAGCTTGATGCCCAGCAGGTACCAGCAGAAGCCGAAATTGTTTGGTGCCCATGTGCCGCTGTTGGGTTGAGAATCGGATGAAAACGGATATTGTAGTCAGCAAGTGCTGCCCCGCATTGCAATATTGGAGCGATACTCGAGAGGGGTTGAGCTACACAACTTGCACGTCGAAGGAGATGCATGCGCAAGCTAGGTAAGGATTTTTCTCAATTCCCAGCAAGCTCAATTCCCAGCAAGCTCAAGCCTGAGGTACTTTTGTTGCTTCGAAGAGTTAAACATTAGACCTGGTTAAGCCATTTTAGGCCATTCCAGCTCTTACTTTCCCGCTTGAATCATTTGCGAATCGCCGGTCAAGTGCTTCGTAGACATCTCTTCTCAAAAAAATGATATGTACGGTACGGGACCCAGATTTTCATCGCAAAACATGTCGAAACCAGTACGTAAAAACACACCAAGAGGGTCTTGAGAAGACGACAATCTTTCAAAACAGCTTTTGGTCTCCATGTTGGTCATTTGGGGGAGGGCGGGGGGGGGGTGTGAATCCCTATAGTCACCCTATATCCCTGGTAGTAGTCCCCATACATCATACATACGCTTCTCCATGAAAAGGCAGAACTTAGCCACTGCAATTCCCGTAGCCATCGGTGATTTGACCTGCAGCTTCACACTTAACCATACGACAGAGCTTGCCATGGATGATAAGCATGCAATGAGGGCTCCTGTCTTGAATACATTAACTTATTAGTTCTTGTTTGGGGGTGACACAGGATTAGCAAGCAATATCACTTTTGCAGTGATGGTCACGGCAACGAGCCGAGTGTGATACTAGGAGGTTCGTCAGTAAACATCAGTGGGTCACAAGTTATACATGCGTGAAGTGGGTTGCTTGAGCTGGATTGGAGAGCACGCGCTGGGCTCGGGGCCCGGTTATGGGTCACCTTGATCTCCACCAGAAAAATGTGAGGGCTCCCTTCACCCCAAGTGCTTGGGAAAGCCCCACATCCTTGAATCAGGAACGTCCCTTAAATCACGTCAACGATCCTAGTCTGAATAAGGGTACATTGCCTTCTTAAAGGGGTATTAGGCTTTCTGGGTTTTCGGTTGAAATTCGGAAGCTAGAGCCCGCAGACCTCTATTGCATACCCATTTTAAAGGGACATACTGGTGCCTCAAACCTGAACCTTGGATCAATCCTCCTTACAGCAACAGTTTCCGCAAGGAGTAGCAGGAGTTATGATAGCCCCTTAATAAACCCCCTTTAGGGACAGCAACTGAGAGAGGGACTGACCCCACCTAAACCCTAATCTGGAAGTTCCCTAGAAATGCATTAAAATTTCTGTTAGCTAAAACGTCATAACCCTAGACCCTAACCAGTTGGAATTGTAATTTCTACCGGGGTTTAGGCAACTTAGGCTAACCCTGAGCCTTTAAATCAAATTGACAAACCAAGGCCACTACGCCCCAGCAGCGGCCCAGTACTCCAGCAGGCGCTTCGACCGGCTCTTCCACACTTCCCAAAAGTGCTTCTCAAAGGGAACTAGAGGGATATGGGAGTTCAGGGGTCCATGGATGTCTTCCGCACTTCTTATACATGTACAGTGTTTCAGGGCTTAAGGCTTAGGATTTCTCAAAACAGGGGGCCCGCAAGGGCCCTAGGGATATCGAGGCACTCTGACGATTTTCGGCAAGGGCTCTATAGGGATGAGTGGGTGAGTGGGGGAACTCCCAATTCAGGACTGCCCACGTACTCCTCAAACCGTAAACCGTAAACCACATCTGTCCGAAAGTTGGCAAAACAGTTCTCATCTCCCAACATACATGAGGGTTTTCAAAAGTAGGGGTACCATTTTGAGGGTCCCCCATTATGTGGATATAGTATTTTGGGGTCTTCTTTTAAACTAGCGCATCTTTCTGGCTATATTGACTATCTTGGCTTGGGCGGCTGGATTGCGTGGACTCAGGGTATGGGGCTCTATGACTACGCTGCTTCTAGGCGTATTTGTCTGTCTAGGGTTGAGTCATTTTTGCAGTCTTCCAACATGGTAAGAGGCCAGACTGGGCGGGAACGTTCAGTATTGGGGATGTTGGTGGTTGTTTGAATCAGCGCCTTTCGCGCTTTCACCCTGACAGCTTAGGTCTTTACCCTAAACCCTAAACTCTAAACTCGAAACCCTTACCTTTACGTTCTTTGTTCTTCCGAAGCTTTTTGGAGTTCACGCTTGTTGTGCCGTTTTCACGACAGTATTTTTTCGCATAGAGCTCACTAGCGGTATGACATGACTGATTCCGGAAAACAGGTAATGTAGACCCATGATGATATAAACCCCCTCCCCTTGATAGGGACTGTAATAGGGATCCTAATGTTACTGCCCTTAAAAGGAGGGGGTTTATCAATGAGGGGTCTACATTTAGAACACAGTTCTATCCTCTAGCCCCTGTTAGCCGTGTAGTTGGACAACTAGCATATTGGGTGATATAGGGATAATGGAAAACAAAATGATGGGGTTATACAGGGATTATAGGGTATATATTGGGGATATATGGGCTCTTCACTTTTCCATTTCGATGTTTCTCGGGTTTCTGGGAGATGCAAAATGGAGAGGCAGGGATACGTTGGCCTTGTAGTTACCGTCGTAGACTGCGCTATTGCTTTGGTGTGCAGACCTCCCAAGTACTTCTAGTATAAACACTGTAGAAAGTAGACGGCATACAAGCTGTTGTTTGTTGTAGGTATTCTGGAGGAGGTCTGAAAAGAGTTCAGGGCATTCTTCAAAACTCCAAGTTTGGGTAGTGAGGAGGCGGGCGCAAGAGTGCCGCACATATGGGGGATGCTTAGAGACCCTGGGGCCCTAGGTATTGATAGGGGTTACACAGCGATTTGTGGTGCCCCCCTCTTTGGATTGCATAGGGGGTTTATTTTCAGAGGCTGTCATGCGATGTTTCTGCAAACTCTCATGTCTTTGGAATGTTTGGAGCTGCTTTCGTCGTTTTTGCTTGCAACGGCTAAGCTGCAATTCGCAACTGATGCAGACTCTTTTTCTGGCATTCGCAACGACAGAAGGGTATGCTGTGTACTACATCTTGTCAGCTCTACAATAATCTCGCAAAACCACAGGGAACATGAACAGGCCCCACTCAAACACGCTCACACCAAGAATCTCTAACTTGCAATCTATACTGCAAGCCCTGTAGAACCTAATTATGACGTCTCTTCACTTGCCGGTTCGAGGGAAAAAGTATGGGGTCGAGCTATGGCAAGTCCTCATCGGACTCATCGGAGACAGCAGCATGCGCCCGAGAGCGCCTGAAGCGTATCTGGGTGAAGGTTTGCAATTTTTTAGGCACGATGCCTTAGATGGACCCCCCGCGCCCTGTAATATAAGGGATAATAGTGATTATATTAAGGAACACGTTGTTCAGACACCTACGACGCCAAAGGGTTGGGACTTCGCCTGTAATATAAGGACCTTAACTCCCTCGTGTTCACTATCAGTGGGTGGGGGCCCAACCTAGCTTAAGCCGTTGTCAAGGTGTGGGCGCGTTTTGGGTAACGGGCTTTTTCTATTGGCAAGAAGTGTCTGACCCAGGGCGTATTCTCGCAAAGCATCTGCAGCCAAACGAGTAGCGAAGTTGCTTAGGGCCAATAGTACCTAGTACTTGGCAGTCGGGGGTCTTAGTATACCTATAACCCATCAGGGGATGTAATACGCCCAGCTACATTAGCCTTCTAACTAAACCCCCTGATGCTCCATGTATGACTGTGTCGCCCATCTCGTAAATCATCACCTACTCAAGCAGTGAAGTCAAAGTGCCCGCAGGGACACACACGGTCGTCCCGACCCACAAGCCCTCATTCAAAGAGCCTACACTTGAAGGTTGACAATGCTGGCTAGTCATGCTTTCGTATGACGACCTATATTTAGGGGGGATTCCCAGCATCAGGGATACCTTTTTGAGGGGTCCCTTTAGTGAGGTATACAATATTTTGGGGTCTACAAGGCGCTCCCCCTACATTTCAAGCCTTTGGTTCCCTTCAGCACACCTGGACCTCAAAGCACAGGCATCGCAGAAAGCGCGCCGCTTGAGAGGGTACAGGATAGAAAAGAACTCGAACAAACATGTGCGAAAGGTATGATTGTTCTGGGGTTCAATGTTTGGTTGGAGGAGGAGCTACCTACTGCTGTGCGGGGTGCGTTGATGAGTTGTAGGAAGCATTGTGGATGCCCAGCGCAGTGGGGTCCCTTTTCACGGTCCTGTAATTTCGGAGGATTTTGGCCTTTCGGGATACGTTTTGAGGACAGATCCCGTTCCAAGCATACCCATGATTACATCTTCCTTACAGGGATTGAGCAATAGTGCGTACAGTTTCGTGCTGCAGGGTTCACGGACGTGGGACTATTTAGGCCCGTGCCTATGCAGTCCTCGCGTAAGGCGCCCAGGGAGCCCAATACCCCTTAGTCAAGGAATATAGCTTGATTCATATTAGAGACCCCAGTACCAGTTAGGCTATCTTCCTCATATAGTCCTTCAATATTCCTTGGGTATATATATATATGTATATTCCTTGGGTATATTCCTTAATAGTCCTTGCTCAACTAGGAGCTGGTGCGCTATGCAGCTGGGCTGGGAGTAGAACCTGGAGATGAACTTGGACAGATTTGGGAATGGGTTCCTCTTAAGATGCACATGTACTATAAGCTACATTCCTTAAAGGGGGTTTTGTAGGACTCTAGAGGGGGTTCCGATTATGGGCCTTATTAAGGGGGATACTAGGAATTTAGACCATATTGCTCATATAGGGACCGTACCCTAAGCCCTAAACTCTAGGAGTTTAGACTATAGTCCAAACAAAAGCTAGGATCCTGGTCTGGTAGGACTACCAAGGTTGAGCCCCGATTGTGGAAATCCCCGACGCGGGGGGGTTGTCGACCCGCCAGGTATAGGGTTTAGGGTTTAGGGTAGGTAGGGCTATATGAAGTAAAAACCAAGCACACTTCTGCCACTGGACTTTCGTTGGGATTCCAAAGCATTCCAACCCCTAAACCCTAAACCAAGCCCTAAACTGGACCCAACGGTAAGCAGCCAACTCGGTCCCTAGACCCCGGTGTCTGATTAATGATGCCACTGCAAGTCTTGAGGGTTTCGCGTTTAGGGCTTACAGGCTTTAGTGATAGCAATCGTAGTAGCAATCGCAATAATCATCATAGTGATGATAACAAACCATGATGGCAATGATAACAACAATGACGATGACAGCACTAATAATCCCCTCCCCCTAATAATAAACCCCCCCACCCCCCTAATAATAAACACTCCCCAAATATGGTATACTATAATATATTGGGANNTATTTATTATTTGGGGGGTGGGGGGGTTTATTATTAGGGGTAGGGGATTAATAGCAAGCCTAGACCTGAGTCATGTTCCCTTCGGGCTGACTGCTTTTGGAGTATTTCAGGGCCTTTTCGCTTCTGCGGTCTTAGAGTAGTCATCCTGAACTCTCAGTATCACTACTGTCACGGTTATTGTTTCTTTTGATTGTTATCTTTATTCAGATTTCGGTTTTTGATATTGCTGCTATTGTTACTTTAGTATTTGTAGGCTCATTATTTCTGAGCCCAAGAAGAAGAAAAGAAGCTTCAGGCCGAGCTATGGCTCAACTGCGTCTAGCGAGGGGCCTTTTGGATGTCAACAGCAGACCCAAGGGAAGCGCAGTCGAATTAGGTACTAATTAGGGCAGACGTATGCAGGCTATAAAGCACTAAGGATATAAACAAATCTTGCCGGTTGGTCAGCGGGGAATGGCAGAATAGATCCCTGTTTCTAGAAACCCTCAACAAGAATGCCTACATTCTTGCCTTGATGCAATACTAACACTCTAAACTCCCAAAGCCAAACCCGTCAACCCCAGCATAAATGGAAATTGTATGGGGATCCAAGGCAAAAGCAAAAAACACGCTCAACACCCGTCCAGAACTCCGGACGTCAACTCGCTAGAACTTCTGCAAACTCCATACAATATCTGTAAGCCATAACATGCAAGATAACCCCTAGACGCTGAGACCTTACGTATCCCTTGGAATCTTCATTTTATGTTTTCCATTTTCCATTCCCTACTAAACACTACCCTCCAGTAAGACTCAGCCTAGGAGCCAGAGAAGTGGTATCCAGTGCGGATCGTGACCCCATCGGGCGAGGTGGTTTTCGATGAGCCAGTGCCAGAACACAGGACCGTGCGCTCTGTGTTGCAGACCCTCCGCGCCTAGATTGTGATTATCAACAAAGGGCTCTAAACCCTAAATCCTCAACGGCGTATGTAATTAGACCGAACTCACAAGACAGAGTATCCTTTCCAGGGGCAAAAGTTCTAGACAGCTAACTGAAAAGTGAATGCCTTCAAGCCCCATCCGGTACACCTTCTGCGCTGCCCCTAGCCCTATTACATTTTCGCGGCGCTGGCCTAGCAAAATGCAGTGTGCTACACACATAGCTTTCGTGGGCTGGGGATGTTGTGGCTGAAGCCTTATATGACGGCGAGGCAACGAAGCCACGGAAAAGAATATTAGGGTCTGGGGTTTAGGCCTCAAGGTTTAGAGTTCATCGTTTAGGGGTTTCAGGTATAGAGGTTTTGCCTGGTGATTTCTGCGTTGGTCAGCCTTTAAACGTGCCCCCCCCCCCCCCTCCCACACGGAACCCGTGTTTTTGTTTTTGCTGTTT